AAGAAGGGAGGACCAAACTTCTTGAGTAACCCATATATTGGTTGCCTTGCATGCACTGTATCTTCATTTTATGATTGACATGTTTTTGTAGTACTTTATTTTATACACTCAAGAGTAATTACTATTGGATTTTTTTTAAGTAAAAGCACAATTTGATACCTTTGCTGTCATCAACATCTTCAAACTGTGGTCTAGGGCCAAAGTAGAATTGCTGGCCTCCAAATGTTGATACTTAGAAATTTGGTGGCAGAATGGATGACTCTTGGTAGGGAAATGGCAACTTGAGTTCAAATATCCAGGTTCTGCCCCTCCCTAACTCTGTAACCCTGATCAAGTTGCTTAGCCTTTATAAGCCTCAGTTTCCTTATCTATAAAAAGGAGATAATTTTAGGATCTCTCCATATAAAAGTTTTTGACATAGCAAATGGTACATAGAAAGTGGCCCGGTGCAGTGGCTCACGCTTGTAATCTCAGCACTTTGGGAGGCTGAGGCAGGTGGATCACGAGGTCAGGAGTTCAAGACCAGCCTGGCCAACATGGTGAAACCCTGCCTCTACTAAAAATAGAAAAAAAAAAAGCTGGGCATGGTGGCAGGCGCCTGCAATATCAACTACTCAGGAGGCTGAGGCAGGAGAATTGCTTGAACATGGGGTGCAGAGGTTACAGTGAGCCGAGATAGCACCACTGCACTCCAGCCTGGGTGAGAGTGAGACTCTGTATCAAAAAAAAAAAAAAAAAAAGAAAGAAAGAAAGCACCTTGTAAATGCCAACTACTGTTATGATATTAATCTGAAATACACCCTCTAATTTTGCCATTCTGATGAATAATTCTACCAAATCATTTCAAGGTTATTAAACATGAAAAATAACAGATCAATTTCAAAACAAATTGGCCTGTAAGATCTGGAGGCTTACAGCCAACATCCAGAGTTATCTTGCCAGTTGCTCTTCCAGCCTCATTGATGGCTACACAGGTATAATCACCAGCGTCCAGATCTTGTGTTTCTTGAATCTTCAAAAGTCCCAAGAGAGGGTCAATAACGAGGAATGTTGAGGGCCTCAACTCAAGATCTCCTAAGTCAAAACAAAGGGGAGAATATTAAATACTAAAGTATTAAAATTGTTTATGCAGTTATTGGTTTAATTTCAAAACTTCTGAATAAAGTTGATTGCAAAGTTTTTAAACACAAGTGTTTGGCACAACAAAGACACTTTCTACAGTCTAAAATCCAGACCTGTAATAAACTGTGTATGAATATTTTCTATTTATATCTGTATGTGCAACTAAATAAAAAATAAGGAGCTCTTTGAAGCTAGAACTGGGAAAGCCTGGGAGTCACAACCAAGGCTTAGGTAAGAAGGGAGTGCGGAAATGAAGGTTGAAAGGAGGTTTCTACCATCTTTGTGGCAGGATGCATTTGGTTACTCAGTAGATGTTTTGAGAGACCAGAGGAATTTTATTTCAGCTAATGACCAGTGCCTTGAATTTCCCGAGAATGACTTTTATTTGAAGGCAGAAGATGCCTCAACAAAGCTATGATTTATGTTAGGCTTTTCCTTATGCTCCCCCTCCTCCTCCTCCAGGGCATCTCCTTTCCAAAGAATGGAATTAATCAGGATGACCACTATCATAAAAAAATACATAGTACTGTACATAATACTGGATGTTTAGTGCCAGCTCAGTGTCCACATCTCTTTTGTTTGTTTTTGTAAAGGGTGACATCAAACATGTCAGGATCTTAAAAACTTCCAGGAGCTTTGAGAGCCATTGTTCTTAGAGTTTCATAGTATTCCCAGATGTCAAGCCTGAAAAGGTATTCTCCAAAATGTCATACACCAGCCATCTGACCTTGGCCTGAGGACCATGGAAGTAACTGTCTTAGCTTCTAAGAAGCAAACACAACTCAGGAGCTAGTACTAAAATTCTCTAGGACACTGCAAACAGCAATAGTCAACAGACTCGGGGCAACAAATGGACAATTCCCTTTCCATTTATGTAATTTTCAAAGGCAAGGAGGTCACGAGAGGTCTAAATTTGAAAAAAAAAAATTACATCAGCAACCAACTGTCAGTGCCTAAAACAAAGTATTTTTCAGCATTCCAATATTTAAAACCTCAATCATCCTTTTAAGCTGCTACTACATACCACGTGAAAATGAGAGCAGTAACTAAAGCTGTGTTGATGTGCCTCTGAGAAATTTTTATAAATAAAAGCAGATGATGTTGACATAAACTTTCCTCACACCATGGGAGGATGCAATGTGACCCCACTGTTCATCAACTATTAAAATGTTTGGACTAAAATGCATTCAGATTTTTGAAATTTACTTTTCCCTTATATATCTTCTGTAAGTGTCAGAGGACATTAACAGGATAAAGACCTTTTTTTTCTAGTAGCTTTCTATCAGAATAAAAATGTTTAAAGAATAGCAGTCAAGAAACAAAATATAAATTGGAAAACATTAGTTCAATTAAGTTTCTATTTTAATCACATTTTGATAGATTCTCCTTTCCTGATTTCTACTGAAAAGTTACTCATCAAATTATTGAGGAGCTATAAATACAGAACCTTTCAGATGGAAGTAAAATAGTGATTAGTTACTTTTTTTTTCTTTTTTTTTTTTTTTTTTTTTGAGATGGAGTCTTACTCTGTCCACGAGGTTGGAGTCCAGTGGCACAATCTCAGCTCACTGCAAGCTCCGCCTCCTGGGTTCATGCCATTTTCCTGCCCCAGCCTCCTGAGTAACAGGGACTACAGGTGCCCGCCACCACGTCCGGCTAATTTTTTTGCATTTTTTAGCAGAGACGGGGTTTCACTGTGTTAGCCAGGATGGTCTTGATCTCCTGACCTCATGATCCGCCCACGTCAGCCTCCCAAAATGCTGGGATTACAGGCGTGAGCCACCACGCCCGGCCTATTTACTTTTAATATTAGGTAAGACCAGAAGAATCTTATACATAGTAAAATATATAAACTTTACTGACAATATATTCTAGGATTAACAGTCATTACCACTGAGGAGAGTTCTCTTTTTGCTGTAGTTTAAATTCAATCCTGGCTTCTGTGGATATAAAGACTAAAGGACAGATCATTATCTCTGGTATAAGATCCTTTCAAATAATTGATAAGTAAGTAGTTATCAAAAACGTTTGTTTAAAAACTTCTTAAGTGTACTCTTAAAAATTAATGGGTACCCTGGTGAATTTTTATGTAGATTATATTTATCTATACTATATATATACACACATATATATATCATTTTACAAATAAAACTGAGATATTTAAAAATATGCATTCACTTATTTTTAATAAACGCCTGACATTTTAGTATAATGATTATATTTTTAAAATTGTATTTTCAAAACATGAGAAATTTAGTGAGAAGAGTGGCAGTGTTTCCCATTTTTGCAAATCTCTATAATCTCTCATGTAGCATAATACAAGACGGCCGAAGCTCACATTTGCTTCTCCACTGACTCTATTGGATATCACATAGCCTCTAGAAACTCCATTATTCACTTTTGAGACAATAAGAATGAAAAAGGCAACATCTTAGTATTATTATGAAAATAGTTTTGATCTCATGAATCCCCTAAAACAATTGTGGGAAGTCTCCAAAACACATTTTAAGAACAACAGCTCTAAATGAATAAATCTAATTTCTTTAATATTTTACCATACATGTTCTTTTTATAAGATTTCAATATTGTTTTGATTTTCCTTTGAATCCACTTTATGTTGCTCATTTCTAAAAATAAAAGATTTAAAATTTCAGAGAGCATTTGTGCTTATGGAATTCCTTTTCTCTGATGGTCTGACTGGAATACAGTTTGTTCATTTTTTTCTTTCAAACACATACTTTATTCAATCAGAATCACCTCAAGGAAGGTATGAGGAAAAACAGATTCTTATGGTGAAGGCAGGAACTCTTCCTCCTCACCCCTATGGTTTCCATAAGGTAGCATTTTCCCAACCTTCCTGGTGTCTTGTTCTCAGCAGAGATGGGACTGGAAAGCCCACCTGCTCCTAACCCCCTCCATTTTGAGGCCAGTTTGCATTCACAGGAGTTTGTCCCCTAGATTTGTTCTTGGTCTTCCTAACTCTGCTCTGTTTATGCATAAATTGTCTGCCTGTGACTTAGGAGGGTATGTTAGTTGACCTGATCCTGGAGGTCAGGGCAGCTCTGCCTATTATTGATGAACCCAGGGAACACGTCTTACAATGTATCAAATGCCCATATTCTATCTCTGTTGGTTCATAACTTGGACAGCAAAATGATATATTATTGAACTCACTGAGTAGTAATATCTATAGTTGACAGAAGGAACGGAGAGTAAATTCTAGAATCTCTCATGTGGTGGGTACATAGTTCTCTATCTCCTCTTTAGTTTCCAAGCTATTTGTGGGTTTAAGACAGGCATGAAGACTAATTGATTCAGGAGCACAGTCCCAGTTTGGGAGAATAAAATACTTTTTGTGAGATTCTGCTATATACACGTATATAGAAGTTGGCATTACCATTACTTTTTTGAATTTTTATTTTCATGATAAACTATTGAATGACATTTAAAATAAAGAAATACTATCTCTATAACATATTTTCTTGATATATTTAATTATAATGTAAATTTGAAATCGGTATTATTTCTTTGGCAATTCAAAAATTTAAGTATTTTAAGAAAGTAAAATTAGTTTATGTTAACCAATATAAACCTGATTAAGGAGCAAATTCAGAAATGCCTTATCAGAGAAAACATGAAAACTACAAATCCTTTCAGTATGGACAACCAGGAAAATGGCATTACTTCCTAGCTTCCACCTTGCTTTTGATTTATATTATTTAAAACTATTTATTTTCTACATAAAGCCTTTCTTTTTCACCTCATGTTCCCTAAGAGTTTGAACTTGAGGTGAATTCCTAATTTTGTGATTATGACATCAACCTGTTGCTATGGAAATGTTTGTGATTTAACAAACAGAATCATAACAATAGTGTTTTGTATTATTTAACACTTTTCATCTGAAGATTAAAAAGTATTTTGCAAACAGTATCTCAATAATCCTAGCAACCTCCCTGTTAGGGTGTTTGCAGGATTTTTTTCCTTTTTCCCGTAATTGGAAGAACTGAAACAGAAGCAGAAGCAGGGCTTTTTACACAGATATCTACTGTCAGCATCTGAGCCTGAACCAGGATCCAAGTGTATTCTCATCAAGGTCAAGTGGCATATAACTATTATTTCATTATGGAATCACAGAGGTGCAATCTTTATGATACAACTATAGAAAGATAATTTCTATAATTGAGACAAGCATTTACCATGTATGATGTAGCTGACCTATCAATAAATACATTTGTCTTTCAACTATCTGTAAGCTTCAATGTGTATCTTTAGTTGAACACTTTATAGAAAGTGCCCTTGTGAATCTAGAAAACTTTTTAATAGTGAGAGCCATAATCTCTAAGAAAAGTGAACTAAAATCAGTGGAGTTATTTTAAATGTGAACTGAGTATTCTTGGATAATTTTCTTCAGGAAACAATCCTAAACTAATAAAGAGAATGTTCAGCTGGATTAGCAAAGGCGAACTTTTCCTGCTTTGATTTTCACAGTCCTGTAATCCATACCAGATGTCAAATCCTGAAATTCAGAGTTGAGCATTTTGAACTATTGTCTCCAGTGAGATCATAAACACATTTTATGGGGCTGCTAAGTCACACACCAACACAAAGTTTTAACAAATCATTTTTTAAAAAAGAAAACAAAACTAAGTGAACCAGACACAAACATACTGAAGAAATGTACCTTTGAACCATTTAACTTGAGGTGGAGGAATACCAGAGGTTTTGCATTCCATAACGGTTATATCCCCAAGGGCAACCAGGAGCTCGCTCTGAACTACTATCAACTTAGGGGCTTCTGAAAAAAACAAACACGCAAATAGCCAACATTTAGCACAAGACCAGATGGGTTTTGTTTATGTTTACTAAATGAACCAATTTAAAAATCTATCAGAATTTATGTGCTTGTGGCCATTTCAATATTTATAAATCAAAAGAAACTCTTGTAATGCACATGCACATATGTATATGTGATAAAAAGATCACTTATCAAGGTCACAGAAATTATATCAGGAAAAAAAATGACTAAAACAAAAAATAATTATGATAAAACAAACTCCAAAAAAATTACAAAACTAATTGAAAGTTCTTTAAGAAAAAGAGTTATTTAAGGAAAGAAACATCTTAGAAATCAGAATACATCTTAGAGAAACAATACTACAAGAACAGAGAGAGGAATAATTCTAAGAAAAATATAGTCAAAAGAGGGATAATGGTAAGACCGACAGCTAAATTAAGACTTGAGGATGATATAACTGTAGATGAATTTGTTAACATTTTCTACATCATTTTAAGGATATTCATGTCTAACTACAGGAAGATATTTGCAGTCCAAGCCTAAAATTTGCATTTACAAAAAAGAGTCCTGGTTTTGACCCTTCTTTTTCCTGTGATGCTAAATACAGACATTCTCTAAATTTCTGTTCTTCACTCTGTTTGCTTCACTTGCTTGCCTAATGATTCAGTTTACTCACACATTTTGTCTTAACGAGATATTTTAGGACTTCCTAGCTTCAGCTGAGGTATTTTTAAACAAAGCTAAGTTAACTTCTCACAGATCATGTAATTTTTCTGCTAGAATACCTTCAGTGATTCCCACTGCTTTCAAAATTCCATAGAATCTCTTTCAAAAATCATAAATGGGTGCATAGCTTTTTTTTTTTAGCCTTACCCTCCGTTACACTTCCTCACTTATCACAAGGTACAGAGCTTCACTGATAGTCCAAAACACAACAGAATTTTACTTTTCTATCTTCTTTGCCTTTCCCAAAGCTATTTCCTCTTTGTAAAATGCCCTTTGCCACAATCCTTCAAATCCCACTCATTCCTCCAGACTGAGCCTAAATCCTGTCTCCTTTGAGAAATCTTTGCTAATTCCTCAGTCTGAATTAATCTTCCCCTCTGCCAACCTCCCACTGTAGTATTTGTCTGTCTGCCTTGTTATATTCCTATATATATCCACCCCCATTGTGTAAATTCTTGAAAAGTAAAGGCTACATGACATACATTTTTAAAATTTTACACTCCACAGTCTCCAGCACAGCAGTTTGCATGCTGCATCTCTAGAGGTGCTTAATAAGTTAAAATAAATGTTTAACATTAAGGCTTCTATGTGAATGAACCAAAATTTGTTTTCACAATGGAAGTAGAATTCGGTTTCAGTCACTTGTTCCACATTCCCAACTGTTTTTCCCTCTACACTGGGGTATTCTGTGAACATTTTAAATTCACTTATCTCCAAATCTGAGCTCACTTTCCACCTAAACGTATTCACCATGTGCCTTCTTTATTTCTATAAATGAGACCACTTCTTTCTAGACTCTCAATTCAATACTTGTGACATTTTTGTTCTCTCCCTCACCTATACCTTCAAGTACAATTCTCTATTTTTATTATCTCTTTTGAATCCTTTCTTCTCTACTGACAGTTTCATTATCTTACTATGAATGAGACTGAATAAGAATGAATGAAAGGGTGGATTGCTAGCAGTTGATTATTCACAATTTATAACCTGGATCTGAGTATATGACACCTTTATCCTTTATTTGACTAAGAAAGACAAAATTAAATAGAAATATTCTATAGGATAATTTTCATAGAGTACGCTTCCAATAAATGTTTAAGTTTGGAGGGGGAAATTGAAGATAAAAAGTAAAAATTATATTATATACAGTTTTGAATATAAGTAGAAATTATAAAATGGAAGTTAAGCTAGAAAGGATATAGAATTTATTAATTTAAAAGTAAAATATTGCAGAGAACAGATGAACAGTGGAAAGACAGAACTTTGTGGACAATATGAAATTATTCCATTAACCTGGAAGCTTCCTTGATTTCGGTTGACTAATGAAGCTTTTCACTCTATGAAATTTTAACTTAAATTATTTACAATGTTTGCTCCAATCAGTGTGTGAAATGAATAAAGTATAATACTATGTATACAATACTAATATTAATTTTTCAAAACAGTACTTTTGCATTGCTTGATGTGATATTCATCCTATTTTAATTGCCTTTTAAAGTGATTATACTTGCCAATGTATCTGAGAGTAGAACTCTGTTTATCTGTTCCAGCTGAATTACTCGCTAGGCAACCATAGATCCCTGCATCTTTGGGACCTGCATTTTTGATAAATAAGGTACCATCTGAGGTCATCCTATACCTATGAATAAAAAACAAAAAGAATATAAAATTGAAAATACCATAATAGTAATATCAAGATAATACAGTGCTTTCCTTTAAAATATTTTCAAATGTTTTAGAGTTATATTTTTGGTGTTGATTGCAGAAATGGTTAACATCATTATTTTATAAGCGGAAATGCAATAATAATAATAATAATATCATGTACCCACTGTTGGATACATGCCAGTCACTGCTCTAGAAACTTTACTTTTATTTACATCTAAAATTTTCCTAATACCCTAATGAGTTAAATACTATGAATATCTCTGTTTTACAGGTGAGCAAAGAGGTTACAGAACTCACCCAAAGCCAGAGTTAGTAAATGGAAGAACTGGAATTTGCACCCAGGCAATCTTGCTCCATGTGGTGAATTGCTATACTAGACGGTTCTTCAAAATGAAAACTCCAGAGATGTAATGTCTCATGTCACACAGTGAGTCTGTGAGGAGTCTAGGAATAGACTCTGACTCAACTTGCTGGATAATACCTATGACTTCTTCACTGCCAAACCCAGAGTAATGGAAGCCCCATGGCTGGATACTTTGTTGTTTATATTCCACGTGTTTATTATACTCTAGGAGCATGAGTGGATTCAATGCCTTTAAAAAGCACCCAGTGGAATTAAATACTTCCCACAATAGTTTGGCAAAAATGGAAGTAATTACAAAGAATGTCTGTACACATTTTAATTAGAGCTACTGGTCTGTTCTTGATCTCTCTCTTCTCTTAAATCCAGGACAATGTCTTTAATGGATTTGTTAAAACTATAGGTTATTTTACCTCACAAAAAGTTTATTATCCTCATTTCAATTACTCAAGTTAAACTAACTGTTTTGGTGCTATGTTTGCAACTCAAAGTATTGGGAAGCACTTGGTCCCAGCTATCGAATTCAAGACTTAATAACCTCAAACTTTATAAAGTCATCATTTATATTATTTTTTGACATTCACAGCCTGTTTAGAAAATGTAAAGCTACGTATGTTGGTCAAACTTCCCTTAATATTAGGGATTTGGTCATATTAGTTTGGTCTAGAAGTCTCATCAGTTTTCCTCACTCAATAAAAACAAAGAACATGATACAAACCCAGTACCTGTGTGAACCCACGATAAACGTATCATTAACGGTCCAGGCGATCTTTGGTTTGGGATAACCTGTCGCAGAACACATGATGGAGACCTCAGACCCTCCTGTGAAAGACTGATTCTTGGGCATCACAGTGACTTTGGGTGGTTCTGCAAATAAAAGTATATGTATGTAGAAAAATTGCCAATTTATCTTGATGTTAGAAGCTTCCTATGTTAGCAGATTTGTAGGTTTTTCACCACCACACCTTCATTGCCTTCCTCTATGGATGACCCACATCATAGATATGTCAGGAAAGAAACCAGTGGTAATGAAAACAAAGGAAGTAAACTCTCTTTGAAAGTTAAATGAATTTGATCCCGATGTTATATTGTTGTGTTTCCACTGGTTACCATGAAGCCCCTTGCTGGCTTGCTTCCCCTAGCCAACCTACAGTTTGTGCCACTAATCTGATACTTCTCTATGAACCTGTTCCAAGGCAAAGTCTCTAGATAGAACTTTTGGCTCTTTCTAGACAACGAATGTAGGATTGGAGCCACAGCTTGTCCTGACTATGCTGTCTGCTTTGTTCAACTTGATCTTTCTATTTTTATTTATTTGATCGTAACTTTGTTAAGGTCAGAAACCATGTACTCATATTATTCCATATTCTATTACATTCTATAGCATTTAACATCCCTTGTATATCACGCGGTGGCTTGTATATAAAAGACACTTAAAACTTTTGATGGAATGCAGTTTCCTCAACTGTAACCTGGCTCTGAATTGTAATCTCTGCCAGTCCCTCCCAAGATCCTGCTACACTGGTCATTTGACTCATGTCCGTGCATCCACAGGACCTCAACTTAACAAAAAATATCAGTTATTCAAACTTTCTGTTTCATTACACTTCTATGACAGGAAAACGACTTTTGAAAATGAAACACTAAATCAGGAATTTATCATCAAAAAGAAAACAATTCTCTGAGATAATTCTGGGATGTTGATATATTTGTCTTAATAGATTACATGTTTTACATCTATGTTGCTACACAATAAGAATTAATCTTCAAAGAAGGTACCATCAAAGAGATATTAAGTAACTCCTAATGTAAATATCTACCACTCAATAAGGTAAACAAAAGTAAATTAATTTCCAGTGTTTGAAACAGTCAGATTTCATGAGTATTAACAGAAATAAATAAATTCATTCAATGACATCTGTTTTTTGCACAATTATTATGTGCCAGGCACTGTGCTAACTTGCAGGGACACACAAATGACTCTAACAGGCATGCTGTCTGCTTTCCATTTAATTTGGTTTTTACTATAAATAAAATTGAGGAATTCAGTTAGTCAGTTAGATGTGAATATATTTATGATATATCTTTCCTGTAAGTTGGTCTGCAAATTGTGGCTTAGTTTCACTAAGGAACCATTAGCTTGGGGAATCTCTATACATGTGAAAGAGATACAAATGGTACTGCTGGGTGGCAGCAGCTACACAACTGAAGGAAGTTAATTAGTGCCTAATTGCTAGCAGCTTACAATTGTCCCCCTCCTCTTTTTTTCCTGTTTACATTGTGTTTTTCAAATTATGATCTAGTCTTTGAAGTTAATGTTTGCAGGATTTTTTCCAGTCCATGAATTTGGTTGATAGCCCTATTATTCCACGGATTCTTGTTGGTGAGCATAGGGCTAGAGAAATGTGTGAGGTCAAGGGCAGACTGACTATGGCCAGTAAGTTCAAATTGTGATTCCATCTGGAGTCCATCAATTCTGAAATTCTGAAGGACTGCACATGCTGTAGGGATGTTGCAGATAATCTTCAGGGGATAAGGGGGAAAAAATGAACAGTTCTTTCTCTTCGGAATTTATTGAAATGCACATTTATTCATTCCCATCTTCCTAAAATGTTTCTCGTGTCTAGCTATTGACATGGAATTGCTGCAAAGATTCAAGAAACTCTCAGAATTTTTGTCCAAACTTGGTGTCTTCCAACATAGTCTGCCAGAAAAGGCCTGGCATCTCTCCCAGCAAGAATCCCACTGGTAGGCTCTGTAGTTCAGATATCAAAGTAAAAATAAGCCAGTTACCCAAACCAGGATGCAGAGAGCTAAGAGGTCATTGAGCAAAAACAGCCTGGATATAGGGTGCTACTCAGGGTCATGAAATAAGTCTGTGTGCAACACACAGATGGGATGACATCATACCACAGGAGGTGAGAAATTTACCATTCCCTTAGAACATTCCTGCTGATTGCTGGGCATGGTGGCTCACGCCTATAATCCCAATGCTTTGGGAGGCAGAGGCCGGTGGATCACCTGAGTTTGAGAGTTTGAGACCAGCCTGACCAACACGGAGAAACTCAGTCTCTACTAAAAATACAAAACTTAGCCAGGCGTGGTGGCATATGCCTGTAATCCCAGCTACTCAGGAGGCTGAGGCAGGAGAATCGCTTGAACCTGGGAGGTGGAGGTTGCAGTGAGCCAAGATCATGCCACTGCACTCCAGCCTGGGCAACAAGAGTGAAACTCCTCACAAAAAATAAATAAATAAATAAAATTAAATTTAAAAAAAAAAGAATATTCCTGCTGATAAGATACTTAGAAAGAACATGAACAAATTCAGAGGAGCAAAATTAGATTTCCACCAAATAACAGTTGAATAAAAATGGTCAAAATGAATTAGCCTTTACTTAATCAGGTTAAATAATGATATAATAGATCTCACTATAGTTACTTCAACTGCTAATTTTTTAATTCCTAGAAAAACCTCCTTACTTTAATGAAATAGTTTCAATGGAGCAAGAACATGGAAGTGAAGAACCACAGTTCAACTCCATCAATGGAGTAACATCATTTGCCAACTAACAAACTGAATCTGCATCTCTTTATTTGCAATGTAAAACCCCATTCGGATAGGAAAAATACATAGTACTAATGTTGGATTTATAAGTCCGGAGTTCAATTTTAGGTTTTGGAGAGAAGTAATCCATTTTTACTTGAGATTTCCAATCTCATATCACCATCATCATCATTATCACCATTATCATCACCACCACCACCATGAGCAACCAACACCATCATCATCAAGAACAACTTGCTTTTGATAGCCAAAGCATTGGGAACACAGCACTCTAGTAAGTGGCAAGGTATTAATTTGCTTTTTATTTTTTAATTATAACAAAAGCAAAATACATGTTTTTGTAATTTCCTATCAATAATTTAGAAGAATTAAATATAAATATAAAATAAAAACCAACACTACTTTAAGAATTGGGTATCTTAATACACTATTAATGGTAAGATTTGCAAAAATGAAGTGTAAGCGGCCATGAAAACAGCTATCTCACTGCCTACAAAGACTAGGGAAGAAAAAATCTCACCTAATTCTCTTGGAAACTGCCAACACTATCTTCAAGCTCAGGAGACATATTTCCTGTCAGCTGGGTCTGATTTGTTGCTCTGAAGCCTCCGGTAGGAAATTTCTCAGAGAAAATATCTAAGGACTTTTTATTTAAGGTTATTTAATTACCACCAACAAATTAATTAGATATTGCAAATGATTTAATTACCTAAGTCACAATTAGCAATATTTATCACCACTAGTATATTTAGAATACTTGGGCAAATTTCTATGTGTTTTCATTTTTTCAGCCAACAAACATTACTGAGTACTGACTATGTTTCAGATACTTTATGTCTTCAAAGATCTTACAGACACTATAAAGTATATTATGCAAAATTAGGAACTAAATCTCTTTCTAGTAGTCAGTTCATTGAAATAGGAAAGTGGTGCTTTCCTTCAGTCAGTGCCTATTACATGCCAGGTATCTAACTCTAGACCAATCATTTATTTTCCACACTAACACTATATAGTAAGTGTTACTGCCATTTCACAAATAAACTATGACTCAAAATGCTTAAATAATTTGCCCAGTCACTCAAAGGTGGAGCTGGAATTCAAATGCAGACATTGCTTGCTCCATGGTTTCTGTCCGTAACTTAATGGGAAATAATAGTACCTACCTCATGGCATTATTATGGATTAGCTAGGTTAATATACATAAAACACTTAGAACAATGCCTGGCATGTAGTAGGCATGATGTAACTTTTGCTATTATTAGTAGTATTCCTCTATATAGCAAAGTGTGACAAAGAATGACCAAATAAAGTACTATAGCATTTAAAATACATCTGTGCATATGTACTATCTAGACATTTACAAATGAAAGTTGATCAACACAATCCTCACACTTACATACTCCATTTAGATTATATACCCTATTTCAGCCTGTGCACGGTGGCTCACGCCTGTAATCCCAGCATTTTGGGAGGCCAAGGTGGGGGGATCACTTGAACCCAGGAGTTCAAGACCAGCCTGAGCAACAGGGTAAAAACCTCTCTCTACTAAAAATACAAAAATTAGCCTGGCATAGTGGTGCACACCTGTAGTCCCAGCTACTACTTGGCAGACTGAGGTAGGAGGATCACCTCGGCCCAGGAGGCAGAGGTTGCAGTGAGCTGAAGGTTGCAGTGAGCCAAAAGTTGCAGTGAGCCAAGATTGCACCACTGAACTCCAGCTTAGATGTGAATGAGACCCTGTCTCAAAAAAAAAGATT